TGACTACCAGCTCCTTGTTCCTGGAGGGGTGTCTGCGTGATCCGTGTCTCTCTAGGCCACATTCTGAGATGGACAAATCACTCTGCCTCTCATCTGCCCTCAAACTGCTGGTTCTCTGCTGTATTTACTTACACTGCTGTTGGTCATGCTGTCTCTTTACAGACTGGGGCACCACTTCCTAATGCACTCAGGTCTCTACCAGAACCAAGCTCACCAGTTTTTAAAATTCCAGGCTTTAAGTCCTGCTGGTTTTAAGAACTCATAAAATTTGGCCCCTCTAACTTTCAAAGTCAAATATTTTGAAAGTCTGTTTTCTGCTCTTTCTGGCTCCCTCCCTGCCACAGACAGTCATGTTCTGTTTCACTCCCAGACCATGACTTTGCCCTTGCCACCTTCTTCCATGTGGCCTCTTCCCTACCTTTAGTTGTGAAGTTTGTTCTGCCAGTCCTCGGGTCATTTTCTAGGTTATTTACACTGATGTGAATGTTACCTAGTTGTAGCTGTGGGCCACAATGAGCTTAGTCATGGTCCTCCTACTCTGCCATTTTCCTAGCAGAACTATTTCCTGAATTACAGTACCGATAACTTACATTTATAGTATGACCATCTGTAATCTATAACAATAATAATATTAATAATAGCAGTTAATGTTTATTAGCTTTTGTCTGTTCCAAACATTGTGCTATTTATTTTAAATATGTAGTCTTATCTTTATTAAAGTTTTATTGGTGAGGGAATTTGGGCTTAGACCCAGGCTGCCTGAATTCAGAGCCTCTATCTAATCCTGTCTTCCTTCTTTCCTTCCTTCCTTCTTTCCTTCCTTCCTTCCTTCCTTCCTTCCTTCCTTCCTTCCTTCCTTCTTTCTTTCCTTACTTACTCTTTCTCTTTCCCTTCTGTTCCCCTTCTTCTCCCCCTCCCTTCCTTCCCTTCCTGCCTTTCTTTTTTAAAAGATTTTATTTAAAAAAAAATAATAAAAATAAAAATAAAAGATTTTATTTTTAAGCAATCTCTATACCCACTGTGGGGCTTGAAGTCACAACCCAAGATCAAGAGCTGCACGCTCCATTGACTGAGCTAGCCAGGCACCCCATCCATACTCTTTCTTGCCAAGTTATCTTTTTCCGTGTTTGCAAAACTTATTTTTTCTTTCTCCTGCAGAGCATTGTTTTCTCTTCAGGATTAGTTAGTTCTTACTGAATTTAATAAGTAAGTAGATGACCTTGTCTCTAACTTAATCTCTTACAAGCGTACAGCATTAGACTAGTACAAAGAAACTTGAGTTCCACTGAATCTTTTAACTTAAACACAATTTGTTCAGCACCAGTACATTGTCTGTCAGAAGGAAAGGTTTATAGTAAACCTCCAAAGTCCTTTCCAATTAGTTTTCTCAGCAAGTTGGCATTTTAAAAATCTGTAATACCTGCTGACCCTCACTCAGGGAGCTTTCTCAAAGCATACGTGACCTTGTTCCCTTCCTGCCCAGAGTATATTGTGATTGCAAGCTCATCCTCTTTCTGTACACCCTTGAAAATTATATGTAAGTAGATTTTAATTAATATGTTAACTAAACTTCTGAAGGGGGAGAAAATAAGTAGAAGCAATTCACACTTATAGAGTACCTGCTCTGTACAGGTACTGCACTAGACACTATATAATACCTTACTTTTCTAAACAGCACCATGAAGTAGGTATTAGAGTCCTCATTTATTTTGGCTTTTTGAAGTTTGCATTTTTTTGAAAAAAGGTGAGCTCATATGTTTACATAGCTTCATACTTGTATGTGTGTAAATACTTCACACTTTTGTTTGTTTATTCCCCATTAATGTTTGGGGTATTTGCTTGTCTATTCCCCATTACTGAAAATTTGTGTTGTTTTCAAATACTTCCAAGGAACATCTTGGTAGACTTATTATATATGGCATTTACCAAGGCCTAATAGGCTTACAGTATTTGTTGACTAAATAATTTCAAAAATGGCCAAATGGATGGTTGAAATACTCTAATGGTTTGAAATATATTTCCATATTACTTTCTGAAAAGATTGAACAAAGTTACAGTGTCACTAGTAATGTATTTGTATATCTCCCCATATTGAATATGGATTTTCAGATAATTCCTTCACTATTTAAAAAACATCGAGGGGTGCCGGCGTGGTTCAATTGGTAAAGCATCCAACTCTTGATCTCAGGTCAAGATCTCACGATCTTAGGTTGTGATTGCACAGTTATGGAGCATGGAGCCTGCTTGGGATTCTTTCTCTCCTTCTTGCTCTGCTCCTTCCCCCCCAAAAATAAATAAACGTTAAGAAAATAAATAAAAAGCACCTAGATTTTCTGTTCCTTGATGTGAAAAACATTAGTTATTATCATAGATTTGATTGAATTTTCAATGTGATTGTCACTAATTATAGAACTGTAACATTTATGGGAAGAATTTCTTACAGTTTGTTTAGTAAAAAAAAAAAATGCTTATTGAATTTTCTGGCTGTTTAGATTCTAAATGTTCATTGCCCTGTTTTGTCCTTAATTTGAGATAGTCTGGCTTCTACCATTCCACTAAAGTATTTCCTACTAAAATAACCAGTCATCTTGTAAATGGCCAATCCAGTGGGAGCATTCAAAATTTTATCTTTCCTCGTGTCTGTTGTATTCATTGTTGTTGATCATCCTCCCCTTCCTTAAACTTTTTAAAATTTCAGTTAAAATACCTCTCTTATGTTTCTCCTACTTCTCTTCAGGGTGATGTTCCTCTTTCTACCCTCTGGTTGGTGATCTGCCATGGACCATCTTTGTTCCTCTTTTCTACTCTTCTTTACATTCTTTCTAATCGATATTATTTTTGTTCAAGGCTTCTGTTAACTCCAAATGGCTCTCACATCTATCTTTTCAACTCAGATTTCTCTTTGTGCTTCAGATGCAGAGATACAGCTGTTTGACAGATAACTCAAGGCTGCTGCATTTTCAACAACTACAAAATGAGCTTACCTTCATTTAGCAACCTGCTTCTCCTATATTCTCCTTCTCAGTAAATGTTTTCCAAAAGCTCAAACCAGAATTCTGAGTGTTATTTTTTAATCCTTGTATTCTTTTGCCTTTTAGATATATTTCATCCTTGTTCCCTCCTCTTTCAGGCATATTTAGTAATAATTGTAGTAGTCTCCTTCCGGTCTTCATGCCTTCACTTTGACCTTTTTAATAACATCTTCCATCCTCAAATCAATGTTATCTTTGTAAACTATTTTTGATTAAGTCTCACCCTCTGGCAATCCTTCAAAGATTCCAAGGAGGAATCCCAAGACCTAGAGAACCAGGCTGGTATACTGAGTGTTGCATCATAATGACTTAGAGGATGTATGAGGTACAGAATCAACATTCTTAAAGGCTGAGTTATTCAGCCAGATTTTAGGCCAGATCATAGGATAAGTTCTAAATACACATTTCATGTAAGGCTGTACTCAACAACCTCTCCTCTTCTCTGGTTTCATCTAGCCATTGTTCCCCTCATAGACATGCCATTCTTAAGGAATTTTTTTTATTACCTATTTTAATTTTAACTTTACCTATTTTAATTTTAATTTTAACTAGACTCCAGATCTAATGTGGGGCTTAACTCACAACCCTGAGATCAAGAGTCACACACAGTACCAACTGAATGACACCCCCATACTTAAACAATATTGGGGAGGGGGACACCGGAGTGGCTCAGTCAGTTAAGCATCTGACTTTGGCTCAGGTCATGATCATCATGATCTGATGGTTTGTGAGTTGGAGCCCTACGTCCAGCTCTATGTTGACAGCTCAGAACCTGGAGCCTACTTTGGATTATGTGTCTCCCTTTCTCATGGCCCCTCCCCCTGCTCGCACTCTGTCTCTCTCTCTCTCTCTCAAAAATAAATAAACATTGAAAAAAAATAGAATTTTTTTTAAAATTTTAAGTAGGCTCTAGACATGCCATTTTTAAAATTTTTTTTTTTTTTTCAACGTTTATTTATTTTTGGGACAGAGAGAGACAGAGCATGAACGGGGGAGGGGCAGAGAGAGAGGGAGACACAGAATCGGAAACAGGCTCCAGGCTCTGAGCCATCAGCCCAGAGCCTGATGCGGGGCTCGAACTCCCGGACCCGGGGCTCGAACTCCCGGACCGCGAGATCGTGACCTGGCTGAAGTCGGACGCTTAACCGACTGCGCCACCCAGGCGCCCCTAGACATGCCATTTTTGAACTCACTGTGCCCCCTCATATTTCTGTGTGCTTTGGACATGATGAATTCTCTGTCTTAAATCTTTACCCTTTCCATCCTTAATCACTTAAGTGTTTTATTTATTGTTCTAGTCTCAGTTCAGTCAAGCCTAACTCCCCCATACAATTAGATTTAATTCTTGCTGCTTTGAGCAATCATTATTCTTTTTTGTACCTCTATGTGATATGTTGAGGTATTTATCTTGTATTTTAACATTTTGCTTCCCCACTAAATTCCTTGAGTACAGGGATCTTTTAACACCATGCTGAGCATGGTGCATGACACGTAGTGTGAATAAACATGTATTGAAGTGAATTTCAGATAATTAGATATGCATAAGTATACTGGTATGACAAGATATGTCCACTAAAATACCATATTTGAAATCATCATAGAAATTTCAAGTAAGGGGCATCTGGGTGGCTCAGTCATTAAGTGTCTGAGTTTGTTGCTCAGGTCACAGTCTCATGGTTCATGAGTTTGAGCCCTGCATCAGGCTGTCTGCTGTCAGTGTGGAGCCTGCTTTGGATCCTCTGTACCCCTCTCTCTGCCCCTCCCTCACTTATGCACAAACACTCTTTCTCAAAAATAAACTTTTTTTTTTTAATTTCAAGTAAAACAAAAAATAACCTGAACAGTGAGTTGCACTACTATCTTAGCTTTGTGTTGCTAATTATACTGTGTCTCTAACCAATATGAAAACCAAGGGAGAAGGTATAAGTAAGTCTGAACTTGACAAATTAATATATGTTTGATTTCTAGGCTGGTGAATCAAAGACTTCTGGAAGTACAGTCACAAGTTGAAGAACTGCAAAAATCTTTACAGGATCAAGGCTCAAAAGCAGAAGATGTAAGTTTTAATGTGAACTGAGAATGGTCCAAAAGTTTCACAATGTTAAGAAAAGCTATAACTTTTATTTTTTTTTGATGGTCTCTGTCAAAATAATTTATAATTATATTCGTTATAGAAAAAAAAAACAAAACAGTGTTTTCCTTTTACTAATGTTCCTTGTGAAAAGGACCAGACAGTACTTCATTGTCTGTTTTGGAATCCTTCTGCTGGGAATTAGAAGTTTATTTGTAGTTATTAACTAAGGAATTCACTTCGTGGGGTTTTTGTTTGTTTGATTTACAGAGTAGAGAAGCTAGGATTTTTTTTTTTTAAGTTTTTATTTATTTATTCATTTAAGTTGCCTCTACACCCATCGTGGGGCTCAAACTCATGACTCTGAGAGCTAGAGTCACATGCTCTTCCGACTGAGCAAGCCAGGCTCCCTGAGGCTTTGTGTTTTAAATGTACTCCTCTCAGTATTCAGAGTACAGGGTTTTTCCCTCTGGTCAACAACAACAAAAATGCTGTACAAATTTAGTATGTTCAAATAGAAATTTTTTTAATTTTTTTTTTAACGTTTATTTATTTTTGAGACAGAGAGAGACAGAGCATGAACAGGGGAGGGGCAGAGAGAGAGGGAGACACAGAATCTGAAACGGGCTCCAGGCTCTGAGCTGTCAGCACAGAGCCCGACACGGGGCTCGAACCCACGGACCGTGAAATCATGACCTGAGCCGAAGTCGGACGCTTAACCGACTGAGCCACCCAGGCGCCCCAGAAATTTTTATGTATAATTGATATTTTTAAAAATAGTGTTATTCCTAGAAATAACCACCTCTGGATTTCTGAATCCCTCTTACTATCCCCAGCACTGCCCCACTCAATATAAGTTCACTGACCTTCTTTTTATATTCTCTTATGCAGAGTACTGCATGTCTGTCATAGCCTTGCCTGCTTGAATGGCACGCTCACACTAGAATATCGTAAATGCATTAAGCCAGGAACTAGATGGACTTTCATCTTCTCATGCTCACTGTCTATCACAGTGCTTCTGTAGCACATAATAGTCAGTCTCTGATGAAAGTGCAAATAAATTAAATTTTCCACATCTTTTACATTTAATAAGCAGTATACAGTAGAATTACAACAATAAAGTATTCAAAAATAGTTTAATCTTTGCTTCAGTCAGTTGGTTCTTTTTTATTATTGCTTGTATAATTTGCTATAAAGTCTGGCCTTTGAGTATAAACCTACACAGTTGCTTCCATTGGTAGTCTTTTTGGAGAATGTCAGAACTACAGATCTATCATTTCTTTCCAGCCTTATAAATATAAGAGGGCATAAAAACAAAAGGAACCAAAAAAGGGGTATTAAATTAGTATATTACTCAAAACCTCCAAATATTAGATACGAAAAGCTCATTATTGACCTAATTTTAGGAATTTCATAAACATGTATATGTCTTCTATTGACAGTATCCTCTAAGATCGGTGGTTTTAGTTTATCCTTTAATTAATGTGTTGATAGTCTTTCTTAGATCCCAGATTGATTCCTAGTTCCTAAAATTGTAACCAACATCCAACCTACCTTATTCCCTTATTAAAATAGAACTAGTTTGAAATGTCATAAACATACTTGATTAAACATACTTTTAATCCAGAATGCTAAACCAGGAAGAGGTGAAGCAAAACCACCATTAGTGTATTAAAGTATTAGGAAGCCCAGCTAAGTTCTTAGAGATGAACCAAAGTGATTTCTTCAGTGAAATCACTGGGTCCCTTAAACTGAGGTAAATGTAGACTTTGTTTTGGTCTCTAAAACTTTGAGGAGACTTTTTGTTGATTTGTTATGGTAGAAGGGGGAAGGGCATGTGGTACATAGGAAGTAAGAGTGGCAGAACATCAGTATCAGCTCTACTTTAGTGTTATAGCGATAGCCATTGTACAGACTTGATTCTCTTACTCAGAGACACAGAAGAAATTTATTCTGTAAAAAATAATTTTGTGTAGCCTGATTTAGATATCACTGTGGTAATCAAATCTAATTAAATATGCTCTGTGCCATCACTTTAAGAGAACATATTTCAGAAGTGAGATCCTGGCCCCAAAAGTACTATTTGCATAAGTTAGTCCATTTATTTGACTGCCCAGATTCTAAATGTCTTGCTCTAAATTCTTAGATATTTCCTCAGAGTTCCTATTCCAATAGGAACTTTCTCTGATATGCCTCAAAATGGTGTGGAGAAAATATGTGGTTCTTTCCCCCAGCAAATGTTTGATGCTTTCATCTTCTCTTTCACCACCTTACGGCATTGCGTCTCCAGAGTATGTAGTATGTAGGACAACCTGCCCAGTGGAACTGGTCCTCTCTGGAGAACACTATAATTCCTGCCTATTTCTGTTATCAAAAGCACAGTCCTTTCATGTGACCTTAAGTCAGAGTAGGATGGTTTACACATTTTTATTATTATTTTTATGTCATTTATTTTTAGCATGGAAGCAGAAAAACATTGTTATATCCAGTCATATGGATAATTTGAGCTAGCCACATTGTATAAAACTCCAGAGAACGAGACAGGATGAGGACACCATAGAAGAAAGAAAACTGTACATTTTTGAAAAAAAAAAAATGCATAACTTTTACTTCTATTCATGAATTACTAAATCGTTCCTTCTATTGGCTGCTGTGTTTGCTTCATACTAATATGTCCTCTCTGTCTCTTGGCATGGTTTCTGCTCAAAAGGCTATTGTAAGTATGGCTTCCTATTCATTTCTATATATTGAGCAACTTTTTGATTTATGTACATTCTCTTCCATCACAGTTGATGGTATTAAATTTTTAAGTGATGCAAATTTTATGGAAAATGAATATACCAATATTATTGCCTTATAGGTTTATGCCCTTTACACTTAAGATATTTAAGAGGATATTGAAAACAAGTCAAACCAAAAAACCTCTGCTCTTATTTTTTTACCATCCCACTTCTGTTCTACCCCCTTTTATAAATCACATTGAAGCTATTTTCCTATGGCAAATAGTAACTGGCCTCCTGCCACTACTTTAATAGTAACAGTCTTTAGTGGAGAAGTGCTGGAACATCGAAAACATGGAAGTAAAGACCATGTATAAACTTTGGAGTCTGGCCGGCCTGGGTGTTAATTTTGGGTCTGCCACTTGAAATCACTGAATGTCTCCCCAGTCTTACCTCCCTCACCTATAAGATGGGGCTAACATTGCTCACATTGTGAGATTAACATGAGACTGCGTGCGACAGTCTATACACAGTACACAGTACACACTATACACAGTGTCTAGTATATTAACCATTCATGAGGTAATTATTGTGTATTATCTCAGTTAAAACTAATTTTGCTAAATTCCAGTCAAAACACAAATGCAAAGTTGTAGTTAAAGTATTTAGAAAATATGTTCACTTTACTCTCTGTACTAAAGAAGGAACAAGCAATAATTGAAAGTTAATAGGTTAGTCCCTTTTTTTTATATTTGGGGGAAGCACTGATAGAGGACCTTATAGTCCACTGATCTTGCTCTAGTTAATATACTGAGCAAAGAAGCGAATTGGATAAATTCCAGAGCTGTGTTACAATGGACTTGAATGAATAATTATAGTAATCGTTATTAAATAAGGTGACTGAAAATCAAAGAACTTAATGTGAGGTTTTTTCGCCCCTCACTGCTACTATTGGCTGATTGGACAGTTTGTTTTATAAGCTGGGTTTGTTTTATTAACTGGGTTTGGCTGAATTTATCTCAAAATGGAATGTTTGATAGAATTCATTAATAATATGTGCCCTACAAGTATAGTGAAACCTAGTGGTCCTATGTAGAATGCCATTATTTTTTGTTTTTAGGTCAATTCTGATCTGCTTTTTAGGAGAATTTTTTTTTTTTTTTAATTTTTTTTTTTTCAACGTTTATTTATTTTTGGGACAGAGAGAGACAGAGCATGAACGGGCGAGGGGCAGAGAGAGAGGGAGACACAGAATCGGAAACAGGCTCCAGGCTCTGAGCCATCAGC